AGGGAGCCCTTGTCTCAAAACCCAACAAAAACAAAACTAAAGCATGATTTGCATGGAAAGCCTTACTCCGGAAGCCAAAGGGAAGATAGGGACAAGACCAAAGTCTGAGGCAGAGGGGGCTTCCCTGGCACCAGGGTTCAGGGGCACTGAGGCAGGGGGCAGCTTTTAAGGATCTGCTGAGGAGGCCAAGTCTGGGTCAGTTCCAGTCTCGGTTCTGGCTCCATAGTTCAGTTGAATCCTTGTGACTTGGACATCTCGGAGCCCACGGGAGGGGTCCTGGTGGCTTGAGTCCAGGCTGACCTCGAGCTCACAGTGATCCTCCTGCCTCAGTCTCCCGGGTGCTGGGATGACAGGCGTGTCCCGCCATGCACTCCACTCATCAAAGGACAGTGTCCGCCATAGGGTCTCTGCTGGGATCGAGGGGGAGCCATGGGCCCCACAAGTCCCTCACCACCACCGGCCTCAAAGGCTGTGACAGAGGTTGGGTACACTTCAGGCTCATGACTCGTCCTTTGCCAACTTTGGGACAGATGTGTCCTGAGTGGCTGACACAGCTGCCTCTGCAGGCGGAGCCAGCTCAGCCTCCCAGGTGAAGATCGAGCCTGGGCAGCTTCTGGCCATGACAAAGTCATGCTTTTTTCTCTTTTTCTTTCTTTCTTTTTTTTTTTTTTTTTTTTTTTGTGGAACTAAGGATTGAACTCAGGTCCTTCTGCTTGCCAGACAAAGCGTCACGCTCTTTAACAAAAATGACTCTGAAAAAAAAAAAAAAAAGACTCTGGAGTCCCTGACCTCCCAGGAGAAAAGAGAAATCCTGCTTCTGGTGAGTAGCAGGTAGAGGACAGGCCTGTGTGTCCCTTCTCCCTGTAGTGGCCTTGGTGTCCTGACTTGGTCACCGCCAGGACAGGGTGGCCCCTCTTGGCCTCCCGCTGGGTTTCACACAGCACCCTGGCCTGTGCCCAGCCCCAGCCTCTGCCCCCCGCCCGCCCAACCTTCTGCCACTCACTGCTCCTCCTTGACGACTCCAGCTTTATTTCCATCCACCAGAGAGCACGGGTATGCACATGTCACCTCGTCTCCCAGCCGAAACCTCAGTCTGTCACCCAGGACTGTATGACGCCTGTGCCTCCTGCTCAAGCCCCCCACCCCCAGGGCTCCCTGTCTGTCCCTCTATCTGACCCCGCTCCATGAGCCTGTGTCCCCTCTGCCCTCTCCCAGCTGCTAGCTGCTTCTCAGCTCTACCCCACCCAAGCCCTGGATGGTACAGACAGGAGACCTCCACACACACGGTCCCTAGCTGCCTAGGGTGGTCCTTTCAGCCACCTGCAGGGCACTCAACCTTGTCACAGTGCCCCAACCCATGGTGTCCCCCTCACCTGCCCTGGCCTGCTCCAGAGGGCATCTTGCTGCCACCACCTGAAGATGCGGTCTCCACACCCAAGAGCAGCAGGACGTGGGTGGTCTCAGCCCCCTGAGCAGAGGGGTCGGAGCAGCGAGCACCACAGGTGGAAGGGGACACAGAGGAGCACCGCGTCCCAGGGGATAGGGGCCCGCCAGGAGGTGCACAGCACTCAGCACCCTCAGGGACCCCAAACCCCATCACCAGCCAGGCCAGGGTGGGACCCTCAGCCCCGGTGTGCCAGCCATGACTAGTGGCTGTGGTGCTAGGCAGGGACCCCGAGCCAGCCTGGTCCACCAAGGCCCAGCAGCGTGGCCCCCAGAGCCGGGCAGTGGCCCAGGGCCCAGGTTAGCACTGCAGCGGCCAGGCGGGCCAGGCAGGTCCAGGGGGCAGAATGGTGACCCTGGGGACAGCAGGGTGTGCACAGACATGGCCAGCGCAGGGCAGAGTGAAGATGAGGTGCCGCCCTGTCTGCTGGGGCACAGGGTAGTGCTCTCTCTGCCCGGCCTCCCACGGCCCGGCCCGGCCCTCGGGTGGGAGACCAAGTCTCCGAAGGGGTTGAAGAAG